ATAAAGCACCCAGCGTGTTAGAAGCTCGACACCAGGCAACGCCTCTGCTCCCCCTCCACCATTTGAACCTACACCTCCCTCAACCCTCAGTCCCAATGATGTTTCTCCCAGGAAGCTCCTCAAACAACTACTGACCCACTGGTCCCTCTGCTTTGTGAATACTTGTGTCCTCTGACAAATATCTGCTTGACGTTTGCTCTTCTGGGAAGATTTCTATGAGATAAAGTACTAGGATTATTTTCAGTTCCTAACTGCCCACCTCCGGGGATTATCACAGTGCTAGCAGGACTACCTAAAATATATTCAGATTGACGGAGGGCAACTGAAATTTGATAATTCTAAGACTGCTGGGAATTGTAAGATGGTAACTCCAATCCTCATAGGAAGGATGAAGCCACTCTAGTAAGTACACACAAAGAGCAAACAGTCACATCCCCATCCATTATGCTTATGCCGTCCAGTGTAGTTAGAAGGGGGCCTGTTGTCACTATTTGTTAAACAAACTTGAGAATCATGGAAAATGCTCGAGTGCATTCAGCTACTCAGCTGAATTAGTTCATTAGCTAAATGCGCTGGGAATGAGATGCCAGGTCTCATGATCCCCTGACACCCTGGTGCCTCTACAACATTCTTGCCCAAAGGGCCATCCAGTTTCTGATCCTCCACACCAGAAAAGTTCCTCCTCACTAAGCTCTTCCTAAGTTTTGCTTCTTTTTTTAAAAAAAAATGTATTTATTTATTCATGAGAGACACAAGAGAGAGGCAGAGACACAGGCAGAGGGAGAAGCAGGCTTCATGCAGGGAGCCCAAAGTAGGACTTGATCCTGGATCCGGGGACCCGGACCTGAGCCAAAGGTAGATTCTCAACCACTGAAGGGGGAAGCCACAGGCATCCCTCAAATCCTGCTTCTGGAATCAACCACAGAGCACTCACTCTGCAAATATTAAGTCTTTATTGTGCATCAGGTGCTACACTTGACATGGGGCTCGATGGGTCAAGAGGAAACGAGTCGGCCATCAGATAGCTTAGAATATACTGTAAATGGATACAACACGATGCACCGTGTCATTGTCTCCAAGGGAGACAGTTCTGTGTGACACAAAGACACAGCTTGGTAGTTTTAACCCTCTGTTTCGCCAGCACTCAGGCCGTAATGTACTTCCCAAAGCCTCCCTACTCACCTCCAGCTGGCGTTGGAGCCTTTTCTTTGATAAACACCAGACCGACGGGAGCTCTCGGGGGCCAGATTGTGCAGTCCTGGGCAGGGAATGTCAGGGATCTTGGCAGATGGAGGCCCCACGGGACTCAGAGCTCCAAAGGGAGCTTGCCCACATGCTGCACCAGGCAAACAGGCTGTTGGGGAGCTTCTGGTGCACAGGGTCCATATGGTCCCGAGTGCCATGCATGCAGATACCTGGGATCTGCAGACAAGCAAGGCACGCATGACTCCTCCAAGGTAGACATGGAAGTTAAGGGAAAAGAGGACCAAGACCAGGTAGGAAAGCCACGGGATCTGAATTAAGTGTTGGCTTCAAGGACAGGCCAAAAAACCTGCAAAGGGAGCTGCCTAACAGGAGGGAAAGCTCGCGGGGTGCGTCGGGCACGCTGCTCAGAGAACTCTGAAGGCAGAAAGCGGAGTTGGCAGGGCTGCAGAATCCACAGCTACGGTGACCTAGAAGAGATTCGCGGGGTGGAGTGGGCGGAGGAGGGCGGCGGGCAGGGGGCCAAATGTCACCAGAAAAGCTACTCTCCCTTCCAGCCCTGCATCTGCCTCGCCCACCCCCGCCCCGTGTGCATTTTTTCGCAGGTGCTTTCGCTTGCGTTTTGCAAACACAAGTTTACGTGGTTGCGACGTTCCTTCTTTTTTGTCCCTCTGCATTGTCTGCTGCTAATAGGTGTTTGTAGTAACTCTTCGTCCAGTATCATCTGCACGTTTCATTAACCTGACAACTCCTCACCCATTAATAAAAAAATATTCAATTATTATTTAACGTTCATTGTGCACGGACAACAGACCCGTTGTGCAGAAGAGAGAAGCTGAGTACACACTAACTGCACCCTCATCCTCCTGTCCCCGAACATTTCTCAAGGAGCTTAGCATGGTTGAGTTTTTGTCCTTTCCCCTTTGCAGATCACAAGGATTGTTTTTTAAGGTCCTTGGCTGTCAGGTGGAACCCGAACAACAAAATCTCCAGAGATCCTCATTCCCCAGAAGGACGTTATGTGACCTCATTAGTCACTTCTCATCTGTCGCTTTTGTTGCTAAGAATCTATATATATCCTCCCAAGGTCCCTGTGCCCTCATGTAGGATGGGGGCTGGTTCGCCTGTAGACCCCACTAGACCTCGAGCTCCATGAGGACAGGGGTTAGGACACTTCGCATCTCTTGGTGTTCTCGTTGTCCATGACTTCTCTAAAGCAGGTGTCCGGTGTAGGCGCAAAGGCCCGGTTTTGGCTGTCTCATGCCTCACCTGAACATTCAGACCTGGCCTTCAGCTAAAGTGAATCTCTTCCAGAAGGTGCTGAGTGGCCTTTGTTAACATTTACATCTGCAGTTTTCAATTTCACCCTGGCTCCTATTTCTATTCCATGTCATACCGTGGGGAATGCCCACTTCCACGGTGGTCCTGTCCTAGGAAGTACTTTGTCGTCCTGGACACATGGTTTGGATAAGTCCTCATCCTGTGGTTAATCCCCCTGACACCAACAAGGCTGCCCTATTCCCACATCTCTGAAACTCTTTCTGAAAAGAGGTTCCCCTGGTCACCACTGTCCCTTGTCCTTGAAGTGGTTTTGGTGTCTGCTTAAGTCCTGAGTTTTCTCTCTACAAGCTGTGGGGTTGGGGCTCTGCTCCACAGTCTACCAGTCCCTGGTACGGAGTAACTCTTAACAAGAGCTTCAGTCCCCTTGCTTATAAAGTGAAGAATTTTGAGAATAATACTTTCTTTTCCAGAGGGGTTTTGAGAATCAGGTTCATCTACACACAGTGTTGCTCTGGGAGGCAGAGTGTTTATCATGCAATGGCCACCATCTCCAGCCAGATACTGATCCAGACACCCCAAGAGGTTATGTCATAAATGGGGGGGGTGTGAGGTGAGGCAGGTTTGGTTCACAGTATCTGAAAGCATCCAAGAAAATATTTTCCTTTAAAGTCATTGTTTCTTTTTTATTATTATTATTTATTTATGATAGTCATACAGAGAGAGAGAGAGAGAGAGAGAGAGGCAGAGACACAGGCAGAGGGAGAAGCAGGCTCCATGTACCGGGAGCCCGATGTGGGATTCGATCCCGGGTCTCCAGGATCGCGCCCTGGGCCAAAGGCAGGCACCAAACCGCTGCGCCACCCAGGGATCCCTAAAGTCATTGTTTCTAAGCAGAGTGTTCTCTGGGGCCCTTCCCACATTCTAAGTTATCTCAAGGAATCAAAGCCCACCCAGAGTGGGGAAGGACTGTTTTGGGGGAGAGGGGGCTGTATCAAGAGGAGCTTCTGGACCCTGCCTGGGTAACCCTTCACCTTCTGTTCCTGTCTGCCTTCCCTGATTGGCCTCACCAGGGAAAGACTGTCCACCTGTGGACCGTGCTCGGGCTCGGACCCGTGGATGGGCTGACTTGTGTTCCCAGAGATGTTGGGAGTCCTGACCCCCAAGGCCTGTGAATGTGAGATAGGGTCTCTGAAGATGATCAAGTTAAGACGAGGTCAGAGTGGACTAGGGTGGGCCCAAATACAATGACCCGTGTTCTCATGAAGAGGATATTTGGACACAGACACGCACCCAGGGAAAACACCATGTGAGGATGACAGAGACCCAGGTAATGCAATCTACAAGTCAAGGAAGGGGAAGATTTTTTTTTTTTTGGTAGGTGAAGAATTGTCAGCAAACCACGAGAAGCCAGGGGAGAGGCCGGGAACAGAATCTTCCTCATGGCCCTCACCCACAACCCTGATGACACTTTGATCTCGGACTTCCAGCCTCCAAAACCATGAGAGAAGAAGCTTCTGCTAAGGCCCCCAGTCTGCAGTAACTTGTATGGCAGCCCTCTTCCACACTCCCCGTAGCTTTAGAGTGAAGGCCGAGTTCCCAAGCTCTGCACACTGTGCCTTCGAGGTTGGACTCTTGAGTAACTGACACTCAGGTATACCAGTTGGACCAAACTCCAACTGCACCTACTGGCCATTCTTTTGGGACACTCCTGCTGTGTGTGTTGCTTAGCTGACACCTACTCATCTGCCAGACCCAGGTCACCTACAGCATCCTCCCAGCAGCCTCCTCTGACCTTCCCCCCAGGCTAAGAGCTGTGCAAATGCCCACCATAGCACCTGCCACACCTTATTCTCATCGCTAATTGGCAGATCTGCCTCCCATCTAGACCAGGAGCTCCTCATGACTAGAAATAGTGTCTTTGGTGCCAGCAACAAATCCCTGGTTAACAAAACACAGCTCCTCTGATCTGCACCTTAAGATTCTGAGGATGGTTTTTAAAATGTACCACAGTATCAGGAACAGGTGTCCATCCCTAGCCTGCTGCCTCACATCGATGGATGTGGTATATATTCTCCTGTGAGGTTTAAACGAAGGAAATGAAAGTCGAGGTGAGTTATCAGAGTTACTATGAAAACAAGCAGCATCTGTGTTCTTTTATTCCCCCAGTAGTTAAAAAAGGCTCATTGTCATGATGCTGCCCATCAATTCTGATAGGTTTGTAAGTACTTGTCTCGGGCAGGGAGGCAGCCAACACGGAGATGCTTGCTGATGCCATGTTTCTGGGCTGGCGCCATGAGGAGGAGGGTGAATGTGCGGCCACTTACCCAGCGACTCGGATCCATTTGGCACCGAGAGCTGAGCACACCCCCAAGAGAGAAAACCTCAGAACAGAAAAGCATTCCCCCCAGTGGTGGGAGTTCACTTTCCCACATGCCTTTCCTCCCTCCCACCCCCAATCATCCTGTTTTCAATCTCCAGGAGTCAACGAAGAGTGTACAAAAAGATGGAGCCAGACAGGATTTACAAAAGTAACCTGTATTCCAGCCAAAATCTCTTTAAAAAGAAATCCCTTCTAAAGGGGGGAAAAACTACGTAAGACACAATACATTTAAAATATGTATTGAAATTACAAATCAAACTTTTCCATGTGATTCCAAAGTACAAAACACAACATTAAAAGGCATTCAAACAGCTCTTTTATACATCACAGTGTTAGTGGCACAAAATGTACTGACATTTCAAAAAACACAAACCGAACTTTTTTTTTTTAACCACTGCTTGGAAAATACGTACTGTGTACATGTGCATGACCCACTCATGCATATTTTTATACAAGATTAAAATATACCCATGGTAAAATGAGCAAAGAAGGAAGGAAAGGTCAGGCATGTGGCAGGTACCTACCCCTCACCAAAGGCTCCCAGAAGTGTGGAAGACAGGGTTATACAAACCAAAGGGAGAATGGAGCCCGTGGGCTTTACATACCAAAAGAGCATGCTCTCCTAGGACTGACGCGTTAGCAACTATTTTTGAGTGCAGGCCCGTTGTTCCATTTGGCATTTTTGGCAACACCAGCCATAATCTCTTCGTTTTGTGTATTTTCATAAGGACTTGGGTTAATTATAAGGAATAAACAAGCTTTGGTATTTTTTTTAAAGAGACCTTCATGAAGCTTTATACATGCAAAAAATGTTTCTCCCTTGATGATTTCACTGTGATTTATATATATATTTATATATTTATATTTATATACAGGGGCATTTATTAATAAATGAGAATCTGAGAAATATACAAAAAGCCCACCCTGGTTCTTTCCAATCCCCTAATTGTTAAAGACTACCAAGGGAAAATGTCCTCTTCTAACCTGTTAAATAACTTTTAACTTTAGGATAGAAGATGAAAAAGACAGAGTCATCTTGGAGTAATTTTTGTGTACCTGGGAATCCTTTTCCCCGTGGGCCCTGCATTCTGGTCAGCAATCGGCCTGGTTCCTACACTGGTTTTATGGAATCGAATGTTGTCGAGAGAATTTGGTTAGGAGGGTGCCACACGGTGGTTCCCTAGTCTCTGGTTGCTCCTGGGGGGGGGCGGTGAGGAAGAACTGATCTGGATGGCGGCTCATGCAATCGAAGGAACTGACTATGCTCAGATCCCGAGTCAATCTGTGCTATGTGAGTATCTACGGCGACTCCTTCTCTGAGGGCACTGGCCTCCTGTGACCGCCACGAAGCTCCAGGGCCCGGCTACACGGTACACGACGGAGCCAGACCAAGAGGCCAGGCACGTCCAAGAAAACTGTATGAGAGGGTCAGAGGGACACAGACGACCGAAGGTCAGCCGTGCCCTCCAGCGCCACCCCAACCAGATACCAGTCACATCGGCCATGGTCGAGGGGTCCTCTTCCCCTCCTCCAGGATTTCAAGGCCTCTAAAGGAATAAACATACGTGTGCTTCCAGAACGTCGGCATGAAAACCATCCGTGAAAGTGAATGTAATTTTCAACTAAGACAAGCTATGCCATTTAACACCCCACCTATGAAGTGTAGAGCTCCCCAAGTTCCCCTGGGGAGTGATGGCAAGGCAAGGTTAAAATCCAAGACGCGGGCCATCTTCCCACGTTCTGTGTACATTTTACATCATGCGTGGTTAATATTGCATCCCCACCAATGATGGGAATGGCATTCCCTACTGAAACAGGGGAGTCGGGTTGCAGAAAAGCAAGTTTACGCATGACACCTCAATGCAATCCTGCTGGTATCTTCCTAAGGAACGGACAGTTTTAGTCGTTTTACTATGAAATCAAACCAAGCAAAGTGAAGCATGCTTGGTGCAAAAAGAGCAAGCAGATGCTACTTTGGCTGTGGCCGGCCCCAGAATCTCCGTGGTCCCTACCTAGGTCGAACCACGCGCTTGTGAAATGTGTCAGAGGTGAAGGCACAAGGATGGCTGAGGCTATGGATGTGCAGGATTTCCTTATGGATTTCTCCAGGCTAGACGAACAGCCCAATCCGTTAAGAATTAAGGGATCTGGGCTCGAGCCCAGAGAATGTATCCTTTCCAAAGGCTTAGGTCCCACCCCAAAGGAGAGGGGTACTACTATGCAGACTGTGTATGATATGTAATGGGAAGCACCCCACACAGAAAAGGTGGACCAGGATGGGGTGAGGCCTGCCCCATGAACACTGGAAACAGGGCCACAAGCCTGCTGGCTTTGATAGGCATCTTAAAGGGTCTGGCTAGACAAGTGCACCCACGGATCCCAGCCTGGGCCCCCGACTCCTGGAGTGTCACCTTCTCTGCAAAGCCATTTACCACCAGACCCTGTCATGACAAATCCACCTACAGGGACTCACTGTCCAGGCTTCATTGAAAAGACGATTTCAGGTGTGTTCTTGTTTTGTTACTGAATTAAAAATTCAACTGTGGTTGTAAGGAGAATGTTCTGAAATGTGATTTTGACGCAGATTAGTTTCCTAATGGCTTCGATTTCATAAAGATAACAAATACCACAGGTGGAGAGCGAAAGGGTACAGTTTCTTCTAACCTCTCAAATGTTAGGAACAAAGGAAGAAATTTCTATACGGGGAAGCAAAGCAGCAACCGAGGCCAACACACAAATGCAGAAGTCAAACATACCAAAAAAACCCACCATTTTAAAAATATGCTTGCAACAAGCAAACAAGTCAGATTCTGTTTCCATTTCACTCCTTTGTGGAATGTGTAATGAGTTTTTAAAAGTCCCACTAGGATAAATCTACATTTGCCTTTCTTTTATTTTTAGAAGTCCCAGGTTCAACGCAATCAGTTTGCTCAGGTGGCTTTAAAAGTCATATTAAAGCCAACCCTCTGGAAAGAACACACTTTCTCCACTTTTGAAAGTCAACTGATGGAGCAATGTGTGTCTTATTGATCCGTGCATTCTGCTTCTATGGTAACTGTCATCCACAGCCTAGGAGATGCTAAGTTGGTAAGATCCTCTAATCGAAATAACTAAGTGAAATGGAAGGTTTTTTTTTTTTTCCCCGTGGGGCAAAATGGTTAGCAACAGGACCTGGAACAGTGCATGATACAGATTTCTCCAAAATAACTTAGTTTAAAAAAAAAAAAAACAGAAAATTGGGAAGCTTCTCCCCCCAGCCCCCAGGAGTCGTCCAGTCCTGCCAGGAAGCCCTGCCGGTGAGGACCAATAGCACTGTTCTCTTCTCCCTGTTGCCAAGAGGACGTCGAGGCAAGCAGCCAAGCCACAGTGGCTCCCAGCAGAACGATTCCCAAGTAAAGCATTTGGTTTCCAAAGACATTAAAAAATATTTGCTCATACCTGGATGAGAAGAGAGAAGCCCCCAAAGAGAGAGAAGAAAAAAAAAAAGGAAAATCTAATGATGAAGATACTCCTTTAAACACATTGGTCGTTGTCAAAGAAATGCAACAACATAGGGACCCACGTCGGTAACGGTACGCTGCGTACAGTGTTCAAAACGTCATTACGGAGTTTTGAGAAAAACACAGAGAGCGCGTAAGGCTTTCTAAATCTCCTGAAAAGTGGCCGAGCCAGAAAAGTCGTTTAACGGTATCTTCCTAAAATGCACATTTCAAGAAAGGCATAGGATGGTGTAGATGCACCTTGTTGATTTTTCACTACTCAGTTGGAGAAAAAGAAAGAAAAAAAAAACACCTTCTAAAAAGGATTTTACTAAATGCCATTAGTGATAAAAACAGTTGTCATAAACAGAGTGCTTTCCTCAAGTCAGAATTATCGGATTCTGTCTGAAGTGAGTTGTAATCCTCCAAAGACTTCTTCTTTCAGCAACGTGGCGCCACCTGGACACCAAAGAGGAGACGGACAACATTTTGCACGAGAGGGTCTCTCAGGCAAACCCCAGACACCCCTAGTCTATCACCACTGGGAGAAAACCGCCCGGCGTGCTTCGTGCGGTGCCTCCCTTGTCAAGTCGGCGGAGACGGATTGTGTGGGGACGTGCCCTACCCGCGCCAGCCTGCCTTCCCCACGCCCGGGGGGCCGCACCCCGGGCCTCGGCGCACGCTCTGACATCACTCCCTGAAATCACGGCATCCGGCGTGACACTGAAGCTCAATGGGGCACATAAGGCAAGAAAGATGTTTAGTGAGAGGGGACGGCGGGGTGGGGTGGGGGAGAGCCACGCTTCCCAGAGGCAGGGGTCTTGTTCCAGCATCGTGCCTTCCTCTAGGTGGGTAATGGGTCGTCGTCACCTTTACTGAACTTGCACTTGCAGCAAAGTACAAACGGCGTGGCCAAGAGCAGGAAAGGCGAGGCCACCAATAGCAGGAGCCCAAATCCAGCAAAAATGCCCACGACCTGCAACAAGGAAACACAGGAGCAGAGGGTGAGGTGACTAGTCTGCAGGTTCCAGAGCCAAAGTATAAACCGCACGACCATCCACCCACCCGTCATCTACCCGTCCATCATCCGTTTATGCGTCCACTCAGCCACCCATCTACCCACCTATCCATTTGTCCATCAACCATCCATCCATGCACTCACTGTCCACCCATTCCTTACCCACTATTCATCTACCCAGGCATCGATCCATCCACCCACCCATCCCCACCATCCTCCCACCCATCCATCCATCAATCCATCCATCATCCATCCCCACCATCCTCCCACCCACCCATCCATCACCCATCCTCCTGTCACCCACCCACCCACCCATCCATCACCTATCCTATCCCCCATCCATCCATCACCTGCCCATTCATTTATCCACTCACCCACCAATACTTCCTTCCATCCCCTTCCTTCCCCTGACTCCCCCTGCCCTTTCCTTCATTTCTTTTTCTTCTTTTCCCTTTCCTGCCCCCCCTTCCACCTAAGCACCCAAACCACCATCCATTTACAGATCCAATTAGCCAACAAGCCTCCTCTGAGCCAGGCTATTACAAATACAGAGAGACATCACATTGTGGCCCTAGAGGAGCACCCAGTTTGATGGAAAGAGACCCAAGATTTAACCGACTATACATTTTACAAAAACTGCCATCAGGTTTCCAGGTATAAAGGGAGCCCATGGGCCAGGCATTTGTGAAAGGGAAGACGATAAAGACGAGGAAGTGGATAGTGTCCTGGAAAGACTAGGACGGCGTGTTCCAGGTGAGAGAACAGGAGGGACTCAGGCACCGGGCATTAGGGAGGCAGCAGCCCTGTGTCATTTCTGGAGGAGTCTAAAACACAGGGCCAGTTTTTTTTTTTTTAAACCGTTACACGTTTTGACTTAGTTTTATAACACACACTCACGCCTGGGCGTGAGTAAATGTGGACACACTGTCAGCTAAGTCAGGCAGAGCGACTTGGCCAGGAAAACAGGGTGTTTCCTCTTAGACAGCCCCGTGCGGGGGCCGCACCCTTCCCGGCAGAGGGAGGCCCGGAGCGGAGATCTGAGGTTGGAGTCAGCCCGCCACCTACTGTTCACAGTGATAAATACGTGGAGGCACGGGGCACGCTGCTCTAATTCCCATTCTGCCCCATTTTTCTCGACTATAAAAATAAACAAATGAGGTACAAGATCTCTAAGGGCCGGGGATCCCTGGGTGGCGCAGCGGTTTGGCGCCTGCCTTTGGCCCAGGGCGCGATCCTGGAGACCCGGGATCGAGTCCCACGTCGGGCTCCCGGTGCATGGAGCCTGCTTCTCCCTCTGCCTGTGTCTCTGCCTCTCTCTCTCTGTGACTATCATAAAAAAAAAAAAAAAAAGATCTCTAAGGGCCATTATCGGCCCTGAAGTATGATCCCAGCCTAGAGCACCCCAGATGTGTGAAGGAAAGTAGACCTTCCATTCGGCCACACATGCACCACACTGCGTTCATAAGTTGACCCATGTTTTCCGCCCAGCTGGCTCAGTCCACTTGTCTGAACCTAGTGTCGATGGTGGAATTACGGGCTGTGAAATCAGATCAGCTTTTGTTAAAATCACGTGCACACCAATACCTCAGAATACCTGAAAACCCCCAGAAAACGGTTATTTCGAGGGCCCGCACGCAACCTCAACCACTTGGCACACTCAGTCAGTCCCAAAGAAGCCAGGATTCTTTGCAGTCAAAACCCTATCGAAATCCTTGACCAGATGCTTGCACATTCTGGGCCAGTGACACATCTTGGCTTCCACCTTATCTTGCCTCTTGCTATGCCCGCCGCTTCCTAAAGCAAGGCTATCGATCTCTTGCTGGTCGGTGACAAGAAGATGCAGATACTGCCAGAAGGCAGGCAGCCGGCAGTAAGGAATGAGATAGGAAAAGCAAATATCACAAAACAAAAATACCCAGTCAGCGAGCATGTTCTAACTGTGTGTCAGGCACTAGGTTTTGCACTGCAGGGGACACGGATGTGTCAACGGCGCCAGGCTCCGGAGGGAGCCACCGCATACGTGGCCTTGTTCGTACTGCCCACCTCTGAGATCTCAAGGTCCAGCTGAGCCCCCAGGCTGAGCTCACACGGCAGCTGCAGAGTAGAGCGCGGGTTCTGCGGCCACGTACAGCCCACCGTGTCTCCCATAGTAAACGTGCAACAGATGTTCAGGAGACGAACCAGCTGAATAGAAACCGGCACCTTCCGAATCCTCCCCTCCAGAGGGTTCTACACACCGTACTCCAGGGCTGGGGGACAACAAGTCAAAATCAAAGACACAGCAGGGTGAATGCATGACACTGGCACTTGGCATTTGCACATGGCCTCGAGGCCTGCGGGGCACACACGAGATGTAGCAGAGGCCGGGACAGGGACAGGTGAGGGACCGAGGGCTGTGTCGTTTGCAAGTCTTGTCCCAATGCCTCCTTCGGTGACATCCCAGTGGCAGCTTGAAATAGCCCCAAGGGGGTGTTTACACCCCAGGAAGCAGCGGACAGAGCAACACGGGAGACTGAGCCGCCGCCTGCCCGGGAGCCAGCCGTGAAATACCAGCTATCACACCGCTGGAGGCCAGAGATTCCAGGAGGCAGGAGCGCCAGCAGCGAGCGGAGTCTACACCGACGTCCACCAGGTGACAGCTCCCGCCTCTCTCCTGCCCACCTTTGGTAACAGCCCCTCTTTTCTCTGCTTAATTTGCTGTTCTGAACTCATGAAAGAACGGGTCCTGGTGGGAGGGCAGGCAGATGCCAGAAACAACAAAAGGGACGAAAACTGCACAGACACGGATGGGAGATGCGGAAAACTGGTGCCAGGGAGCTCAAGGCGGCTTCCCTGGTGAGGCAGCAGGTCCTGCAGGTGTGAGCCCGCTGCAGATGGGCTGAGGTGTCCGGGAGAGAGAATTGCAGCCACTCAAGGGCTCACAGCGGACCAGGCAGGTGGGCGGGAGGAGGTCGATGCACAGAAGAGGCACAGGTCAGGAGGAGGTTCTGGGAGCAAATCAGCAAGACTCGCAGGGACCCAGGAGCCCTGCCCTCGGGTTTGGCTTGAGGGGGTGGACGTGCCACCTTGGTAATGAGGCAAGACCGATGACTTCCATTTGGTCATTCGGAGCTTGAGAGACCCGCGGGTGCCCGCGTGAAGGTATCCATGAGGCAGTGGGTACGTGAATCCCGAGCTCTGGGGAGAAGCCAGCAGCAGGTTCCAGGGCCATCGGCACACAGATGTTCAAACGAGTGCGTGCGTCCCAGGGAGGGAGCACAGGCTGGGGAAGCAACGGAATTAAGCCGTCCCGCCAGGTGCGTGCAGGAGACAAGGCCATCTCGGGGGCCCCGGCGGCTCGGGCTGCACAACCAGGCACCGCAGACGGGGCCCAAACACCGGACAGCTGTCTCTCCCAGTCCTCGGGGGTGACAGGTCTGAGACCAAGGCGCGGGCAGGGCTGGTCCTCGGCTTGCAGAGGGACGCCTTCTTCTGCAGCCTCGCATGGCTGTCCCTCTGGGCTTGCCTCTGTCCTAATCTCTTCCTATAAGGACACAGTCACCCAGCAGCCCCACTGCCCTGGACTCGGATCCCCTGGTGCTGGTTCTGGGTGGCCCCTGACCGGCTGCCCACGTCGTCTACACGGGCCTCCTCTCAATTCTCTCTATTCCTCTCCTGGCCCCAGAGGGCTCCGGGGCACCCACATTCTGCCTCCACACCCCGAGGGCTCTGGGGACCCAGATGGCAAGGTACCTGCAGGATGGGCAGCGAGTGCCATGGGGAGGGGCCCGGCCTGGCCAGGCAAACCAAGGCAACTGCAGGAGCACCGGCTGGGGTGCTGCCTGAGGGGAGGCAGGAAGGAGAGCGAGCCGGGGAGTGGGGTTCAGGGCACAGAAAGGAGAGTAAGCCAGGCCTTTTGTCTGAGCCACAGGGAGGCTGGAGAGGCACTTCCCGAAATGAGGGGGACACGGAGGAGGACAGGATCTCAAGGGAAAGTCTAAGGTCTGCTCGTAAGCCCATGGGACACGCGCACGGGGGTGGCTGGGAGCCAAGGGGGCCGCATGGGCTGGGGAGGGACCACACAGTACAGGAGGGACGGGGGCGCCTAGGGAGGCCCCTCTATCGCCGGGTCACAATCCCTATCAACACATTAATGAGTCGTTTTGATCCCTAGATTATAGTCCACACCAGTGTTATTTCACCAGTGCAAAATCTGGGGCCAAAAACCCATCTCGGAATCTATTTAAGGCAGTGGAGTGGGACTGGGTGTGCTGATTATGCACAAGCGACACCTCATGCCTCTTTCACTGAGCCCTGTGCAAAGGACCCTCAGGACCGCTCCGTGCACGAGGCCTCCAGGACACGAGTGTCTGTGCAACGGACTCCCGCCCTCAGCCCGGGCCCGGCGGGCGTCACCCGTGCGTGACACGGACGGTGCAGGCGGCCACCCTTGGTGCCGTCCCCTGGCTACACGTGGGCTCACCCGTCACCCTGAGGTGGGCCTGAGGATTCCCTGCTCGGAAGACAAGGGGGAGCCAGTGCAGAGAAGCCCGTCTCCTGTCGGGCGCTGGCATCCTAAGGAAAGAGATCCATCTAGAGGAGAGGAAAGGCGCCGTCATCCGCCTCTGACATCCGATGGCCCACCTGTGGGCCGGCTCTGGAAACGGGGCAAAGGGTTCGCAGCCACCGCGTGCAAAGGGACGAGCAGGGCGCAGATGAAAGGGCACGGCTGTGAGCATCCAGGACTCTGCAGCTCACCGCGGTGGGATATCGGACGCCTCTCCTTCCCAGCCACCTGCTACCGCCTCGTCCTGGTTTGCAAAAGCACCAGGACTTTTGCTGCAAAAGTTCCAGCAGAAGACTTGTGCAGAATCAAAAAATGAATGAATGAATGAATGAATGAATAATAAATAAATAAATAAATAAATAAATAAATAAATAAATAAATAAATAAAATCTCTTGGGGCAAAATAGAATCG